GATGACCTCTTCTCTCCCTCTCTTCCTCCCCTGTACCTTACACTGCCAACTTTGTTTTGAACTGTATAGAAATGTCTCCCCCTTGTCTACTGATACCAGTGTTGTTGCCATTCTCTATGAATAATTTTCCTTACAATACTTTTTCCCTGTGTTTTAGATATCTTAATTCTGATATTTATATTTCTTTTCTGTAGAGCTTGTTTTGCTAGTTTAAACTTTTTCGTTCCCTCTAATTATGAGCTGGTATCAGTAAGGATATGAATTTGGTGCCTTGGTTTGATTGCTTTGGAGTGAACTGATACTATTTTGAAAACTAAATCCTGTCGAGAATAAGACATACTTGACTCAACACTTTGAGTGCCAATATGGAATCGCTGCAAATCAGGACTTCATTTGGTTTGTTCTGTACAATCCATTCCAGTGCCATGAAAATGGCTGTGTACACAGTTAGGACAGGTAGAGGTTTGTTTGAATATTTCAGTTTTGTACTCTGGAATTGTGATTACAAAGCCTGTACTGTCTGTGATTGTGTGTGACTTTTGAGCCATCAGTAAAAACGTGCTAAAAATCTGAATATTTGTGCTCTGTCTAGCAATAGAATGTACTCATTAAATCTGCCGTTCTATTTCTTGCCTTAATTTACAGCAATTCCATACCTACCTCAGGAGTTTCCAGCATCCAAGCAGGGATTACTGGACAAATGACAGTTGGGCAAAATTCTAGCTGTGATATAGGTTTCTTGCTGTTGTTTCTCCTGTCCAGCCAGAACTTGTTTTAGGTGCTCTGTGTGTCCCAGCAGTTCTGCAACACTTTTTAGTTGGATTATTTTAATATTGATTTTAGTTATTCTCATGACCTTTGAGATTTATCCAGTAAATAACCAATAATTGCTTCCTGCGTAGGCACAATGGCATTTCTAGAGTTTCTACTTGGACGGCACACACGGGAGGTTCTTACTGCACCAATACAAACTCTTAGGGCTCTAGCTTGAACAACATCTTGTGCTTTAAGAGCTGTTTCTGATGCCGAACCATATGCTACACTGCCATAGTCTACCCTTGATCTTATTAAGGATATGCAATTGTGTTTCAGTGCATATCATCATATCTGCTCCCTAATCCAATCCTACAAGACATCTATATTTTTGCATCTATCAATAACATTTTCTTTCCCCATGTTAATCCGGTGTCAAAGTGGACCCCTAAAAAAACAAAATGTTTCCATTTCTGGTCTGCTTCGATACATGTCCAGATAAAAATTCCCCCTACCCCTCCTTCTCGTAAAGAGCATTACTTTAGTTTTTTCAACTGAGAATTTAAATCCCCATTTTTTTCCCCACATTTCAACTTTCTTTATCCCTTCCTGTAGTTTCTTTTACTACATGTTCCAAATTCCTTCGTTTTTTCTACAAGACCCCAACATACGCAAATAATGATCTTTCCATATCTGGTGACATGGACTCAAATACATAATTTATCATGATTGAGAATAATATAGGACTCCTGTGGAGTCCCATTTTCTACCTCTATTTTTGGGACATTTCAGCTCCAATGTTTACCTGAATAGTTCTCTTATTTTATTTTTTTTAATTATCCAATTAAACATCTTTCCCCTGATTCCCATTAAATGCATTTTAATAAATAGTCCTTTCTTCCATAGCATATCATATGCTTTTTCTACATCAAAGAACACTGCTGCCACTGTTTCCTTATTAATTTGTGCCTTCCTTGTCTTCTAAACATACTGAATCTATACCCCTCCCTTTTCTAAATCCGCTCTGACATCCTAGTATTAGCTGCTGATTCTCTGAATAATACATCAATCTTTCATTTTACCATACATTCCATAAGTTTACATATATGCAATGTCAGGGCAATTGGCCTATAATTTGGTGGGTTGCTTGCATCTATCCTGGTTTCCTTATAGATACAATAACTGCCTCCTTCCAGGTTGCTGGTACCTTCCTCCCACACTTTTTTATTACAATGTTAATACTTTACGCAATCCTTCGCTACTTAAATGTTTTAAGATAATATAACCTATTTCATCCTTTCCTGGAGCAGTCATTCCAGTTTTAGCAAGCACTCTTTTTAATTCTTCCATTGTAAATGGAGTATTCTTCAGTATTCTTCTTTTTCCTTAAAGCATCCATATTTTCAGATTTCGTTTCTTCTCTACCTCTTCTTCCCACCTTAGATAAATTGTTAAAACTGTGTATCTTAACAAAAATATTAGCCAAAAGCTCTGCTTTCTTATTATTATTTGCTGCTAATTCATTTTCAGTTGTTAGCACAGGATAACTCCACTCCCTTCCCCTCCCAACTTTCTAATCATCCCCCACACTTCTCCTACGGGAGTTGTGATCCCAATTGTGCCTCTATACATGTAATGTTCCAGCATGGCACTGCTTTCATGTTTGTTTTCCCCTTACTTTTAGGAATAGATTTTAGAGCAGCTGCCCTAATACTAATGACAGTTTTCTTACTCCCCCATAATTAGTTATGTGCTTTGAAATCCCCACACCATACAATGCTTGCTCTACGTTGCCCTTCTATTTCTTCGATATTGTTTCTATTCTCATACATGCATTATAAACATCCACCACCACCAATTCCTTCATTTCAACCCATACCTCCACTACCACATATTCCATTTCTTTTCTTATACCCAGTTTTCTGTATGAGATCCCTTGCTTCACAAATGTGACACATCCCCCTCCTCCTCCTTCTTTCCTATCTCACCTAATAGCTACATATCCATAAATTTCAAAGACCAAATGTGGCTTCAACCAAGATTCTTGTATGCACAGAATGTCTGGTTTCTCTCTCCTATTATATATACATTTTCTGAGTCCCTGTCCAATATAAAACTTCTTGCATTCCACTGAAATATTAAAATTTTTATTAATGTCAACCAATACATGATTCTTGGCTTGCCTGCAGACTTAAATTGTCTCTTACTTCCTCCCACTTCAATGCTACCATATCTAGATAATGCACTGCTGCTTTAACGAATATTTGAATCCTCTCAGTTTTTGACTTGACCTCGGATGTTGCATTTATAACCCCTAGAAACAGTTCGGTTAAAGTTAGATCTTTATCTGCTCAAAAATATGTTGTGGCTGCCTTCCTACTTATATCTTTCACAAAGAGAGAAAAGGAAGGACAGGTTGTGTCAATGTATATTGAGTTCTTTGTTTATCAAATAAACAACACAAAACATGTATTTTGATTAATCTCCATTTGTAAATCAAAGTTAAACTCTGTTAATTGTATTATCTTTCTTAAAGTACATTACCGACTAGTAGACAAGATCTTTTATAATGGAGAACAGTGGTAATAATAGTCCCTTCGACTCTTCATTTGAGCCCCCTTCACTGTGGTTGACTTCATGTTTTCTCTATATCCAAGTCTTGTCATTTGTTAAACACTAAACTAAATACACTCAGAAGTGGAATATTGTTGCTAAAGACAACAATATATAGATAACTAAACAGAAAAGCTTTGTGCTTTTTTTAAAACTGAAGATTAGTTGCTGAGCTTGCACATCAATGTCTCTTTGTCCTGACTGCTTTCATTGTTCCTGTTGAGGTTGACCTTGTGGTGCTGTACTGCTCTCTGGTGGCACTTTGTGTTATTACACAAGCTATGACTAACATTTGGGTCAGTTGACCAACATGCTGTAAATTAAACAGTCATCTGACCTTATTACATTCCTCTGGTTTCCAGTATTTGAGTATTCCAGTAATGAATTTAGTTAACTGATGCTCTTTTAACCACACAACCCATTGTCTTTTGTGTTTGTTTTTTTCATTTTTGTTTGAGTAACATACTCAAGTTAAGAGGTGGTGATATTTTGTCTTTTGTCACCTGTTAAGTACTACACAGTAACAGGGAGACAGAAATGGAGTAATCTAAAAGAGACCAGAAACAGAGTTCTGTAACCAGAGTTTGACGAATTGCCTGGATTCTCTGCTGTGAAAACATAAACTGTGATTCCCTCAGCTTTTACTGTCATTCTCTTTTTTCTTTGTCTCTCAGCTGTGCTAGCTAGAGTAATCTGAAACTGATTTATTCCAATGATCCTACAGCACACGTCCATCCAATGTTTACATGCACTATCTTCTCAAGCAGAGAGTATAAATCAAACATCCCTGCACAACTACTACACTGTAGGAGCATGCTGTAGATCAGGAATGACTGCACAATCTGGAAACTATTACACTGCTTAACTGTGATGGATCATTTCGAAAGCATGTCCGTTGCTCTGGGTTTTGTCATCATAAACCCAGGCTGTGTGCGTGAGAACTCAGCCAGTACTTCCATGAAAGATAGACTTTTCATCACTTTGCATGAGCAATGAAATGCATGAGAAAATAATGATGCCGAGTTTCTCTGTACTCGTACCAACACACAGTAAATTCTTATGCAACTATATTTATGATCTGTAACACTTAATCACACTTCTTAGTACTCAACAGAACATCAACATGATATTACTGCATTATTCTGTATCCTATATTTGACAAAATATATTGTAAGTGCTGTAGTTTTAAAGTATATATTTTTTAGGCTTTTTATGCCTTTATTGGATAGCACAGTAGAGAGAGACAGGAAATGGGGAGGCAGATAGAGGGGAAATGAAATGCAGTAAAGGGCCGTCTGATGCGGGATTCGAACCGGGACCGACTGCAGCGAGGACTGTAGCCTCTACATATAGGGCGCCTGCTCAACCCACTGCGCCACTCGACGCCCCAAGTGCTGTAGTTTTAAATAATAAAATAATTGAGATGGCTGTGAGCATGTGATTAATTGATGCTGTGAGTTTTGCTATGAATTATTTTGTCTCTTTCTTCAGTGCTAAATAGTCAGCAATATCATTTGTGAATCCCTCTAATGAGTTAGCTGCTCATGCTAACTACCCTACCTAACCAGAAAATCTTTTGTTTTCTTGCTTCACTTGTTCACTTTCTCTTCTCCATATTTCTGTGTCTTTTTCAGGTCCTTGGCACCCCATCTGAGGATAACTGGCCAGGTGTAAACTCCTTGCCTCACTTCAAACCAGGTGAGACCGTACATATTATAAAGCACTTTTATACACAGTGAACAGAGATGCTGTAAACTCTCACTAACTTGTTTAAAATTCACCAAACTAAATGATAATTAATAACTCAGCATAGAGTATGATAAGATGTTATCATGAAGCCGACTGTCACTCATTATTCTGTAGATAGATAGATAGATAGATAGATAGATAGATAGATAGATAGATAGATAGATAGATAGAGGTGTCCAGCAGCTCATTAGTAATAATAATAATAGTAGTGTGTGTATGTGTGCTAAAGTGTTAGCATGAAATCATTCCCAACAGTGCATCTGGTTAAGTGTTAGCATGGAGCCATCTTTTACTCAACATAGGCCGCATTTCCACCGCAGGAACTTTCCCCAAGAACCAGGAATCTTTTGAGGAACTATGCACGTTTTGACTGCAGGAACTTTAGGAAGGAAATTTAATTCTGAGGTATTTGATCGATCCCCAAAAAGGTACCTGGTCAGGGGGTAGTACTTTCCAAAGGTTCAGGAACTTTGGGGGATGTGGTCTGCAGTGCTGAACATTTCTGTCTGGTTGAGTACTCACTGCATTTTATTTCACCTGCGATGTTTAAAAGTCCACAGCGAGCGAGTGAGCAAGCATCGAGCGAGCAAACACATTTTCCACGAAACAGGTCTGGGAGAAGGTGAAAAAACAGAAACAGGACTTCAAAAAAATAAAGGACCACAACAAACAGAGTGGCTATTGTTTCCACCTGTCACGTATAATACAAGATTGTCCCATATTTGAAAATAAAATGCTGCCTCCTGTATTGAATAAATACGAGATGCAATTTGGCCCATATTTTCGTTCATGTAATGTCCTCAAAGTGCTGTGAATAATGTAATATCAAGTAATAATTTTGGCTAATCTTCCTGGGACTTTAGGCTGCGGTGGAAACACAGACAGCAATGGGCCACAGGAACCTTTTTGCTCTTGAAGGAAAGTACCTGGAATTAAAAGTTCCAGGTCAAAACGCAGCTATAGAGTGTGATAAGATCTTAGCATGGAGTCTATTGTTACTCATTATCCTTTATGCTTAAGTGATGGCATGGAGCCATTTCTTACTTAATATAACATGGTAAAGTGTTAGCATGGAGCCTACTGCCACTCATTATTCTGCAGTTATGCTAAAGCATTAACATGAGACAATTTTTACTCAAAGTAGCATATGGTAAAGTGTTAGCATGGATCCACTAGAGCTGATGATCTCTACAGGTACACACTTCTTTAGTAACCTGATCATCAAAATGAACCAATGGGACAGTCTACCTAAATGTCACTGTACTCCGTTGCAGCAGCAACAGCAGCTTCAGGAGTGGGGGTGGCAGCTCTGCTAGGGTAGCCGTGCCCTCTGGGAGCTCATTAGGGCTTTTTAGAGGGAACACGAATGGAGAGTGCAGATTAGTGTTGGTGCTGATGGAGGGAAGAAGAGCTGGAGTGGAGGACAGGGGACAGACAGGGATGGCCATAAAGAGGGTTAGAATAATGGTGCGGGGCAGCGAGGCATCACAAAGATGTGACCCAGCCTCCTATCTCCAGTGGCCAATTAGGGACCAACTGGTGTGACCCTCATGGTCTCACACACACACACAGAAACACATACAAATGTAATCTCTCATCCTGTGGCCATGGTGACAGTTGGCCCTTGTTAGCCTCTCACATACTGTGTTGAACAGCTGTGCACTTTTCTGAACCAGAGACACAGACACAGACACACACACAGACACAGACACACACACACACACACGCACACATGCACAAACACACATATGCCTAGATTAGCCTAGTTTTTGCCTCCAAGCGTTGTATCTGTTTATATGACGTGTGCAGATTAGTGATGGGTCGGTCGCGAACGAGAGCCGGATTAGAGCCGGCTCTTTGAAGTGAACGATGGGAGCCGGCTCGCGATCGAGAGAGCCGGCTTCCGATCGAGATTTTTTAAATTGTCTTTTAAAGCCGCATTGGTCAACATGTGTGGCTGTGTCAGCGTCTGTGTGACTACACTGAGCAGGAGGGGGGAGGGGAGGGGTTACAGACACTCGCATTTTGTGTTTTGTTTTTCACTGTACATGGTTGCACATTTTAATTTATATTTTGTTGAGTGATGTTTAGTTGATTTTGTGTTTTTTCACAAATTAAAATGGGTCTTTTTTATTTAAAATTTATTTATGCATATGTTAAGTTATGTTACGTTTATTAATAAAGCCATATACATACTATACATATGTTATATTTTATGTTTTCATTAGTTATTCATTTTGCACATAATTTGGTAATAAATTAATTTAAGTAACAAAAAATCTGAGGAGCCACTTGGGAGCCGAAAGAGCCGGCTCTTTTTAGTGAGCCGAGCCAAAAGAGCCGGCTCTCCACAAAGAGCCGGAATTCCCATCACTAGTGCAGATCTGATGTTATTGCGGCTGCATTACTAACAAACACAGGAAGGAGGAGAAATAATTATTATATTGTAGGAAAAATCTTCACACGAAATGGAATTATAATCTGCTGGCTGTGCTTAAAACTGCATGAGTAGAAATAAAGTTCAGAGTGTTCATTTCATATGATTCTAAAAAAAAGATCTATAATTATTATTCAAAGGCTGAACGATAAGTAGGCATATAGAATATTAATCTGAGAAATTTACTGGTTTGATATTAATCTGTATGTATTTTAATCATTGTAGACCTTGAGTAACATGATGGGATAATACAAAAGTCTGTCACTAATCTGAGAGTTCTTTGCAATATTCTAAGATCATTATATTTATTTTCTCAAAAAAACATTAACAGTAGCTTTGTCACTGGTTAGCTTGACATACACAATAAAATCCTACAGTGAGCAGCAGATGGCAGTAATACGACAGTCTAGAAACCTCCCTGCAGGGTTTCCACAGCAGCACTGAGCTCCTCTGAGCTGTTATCTGCTCACTCTTCCAACTAAATCACTCCTCTGGTTATGATTCATCACATTTTACTGTTACTTCTACACGCAAAATGCTTTCCAATCATTGTGATACATCACTTAAGTTTGGGTCTCTGACATGACAGTGGCTCTGGCTCAACCTCAGAGTGGAGGCGCCACTTATTTTTTCACATTTTTGTGGTTATGAAAAGGTTCCACAGATTCCCCCTCACTTCTACTCATATCTCGCTTCAACTCTGCTGTCTTACTTATTGATGTGTTAGCTTGGGCTTTTACACTGCACTCAGAGCTAGACCATTTTGATCTATGAATTTCTTCTTCATCATCACACTCATCACTGTTATTAGTGATGACTAAGGTTAAGTTTCATGGTTTTGTTTTGTAACTGGACAGAAAGCAGAGGAGTCAGGCAGGCAAAGCTAATATACAGTATTTAACAAATAAAAGGGGGAATGTGGAAACAACTATCATCCATCATATAGTTAGTTCACCCTTTATATTTGTTTTCAAGAGACAATCATGATCACAAGAATAAATGTTTTAACATAATCCAAATTATTGATAGATTATAATTTCACTATTAATGCTTTTTAAACCCAGTTTGAGTATCCTGTACAGCTCAAGTAATTTGACAGGATGCACTTTCTCTTATAAAGACATATAGATAAAGCACACATTATTGGTTATGGAGGGCGATCACATCTTTTCAGATGAAGTACAATGGGGAGTCATTATTTAATCTAGAATTAAGCACAGTGCTAAACTGTGTGGAAAGTGAAGGTGGAGAGAGAGGCATGGATATCATGATACCTAATTACAGACATGATTGTAGATTGTGTAATGGTCTGCAGATAAGATTTGTTCTTCTGCTTGTCCAATTATGACATTCTGTTCACCAGTCAGGTTTTCCACAAGTAACTCAGTCCAAAGTTTTTGCAACAATTTTGACCATTGGGTTTTTGGTCACCTCTTTTACCAAGGTCCCTCTCCTCTGATTGCTCATTTTAGTCCTGATTGTCCCAAACATCACATAGTATAATACAATAAAATATATCTTGTTTGATTGCATATCCAAATGTACATGCAGGAGAAATGCCTATCATCTTATAATCACCTGGGCACCTGTGGTCAGTTCAGGCCAGCCCTGCTGCTTAACTGGATGACTGGACCCACTGTTGGGTAGCTGGCAGGCTGAAAGTTGACACTGACAGACAGTGGTTGGCTAGTAAGGATTAGGCTGGTAGTGTAGGTGACAGTGCAGGCTGACTGTGTGTCCACATGGCAATTTTGGCTCAGATTAAGACAACAGTGCAGCATCATAAAACTAACTAGAAAATGCATTTCCTGCTGAAAATGCATGTGAATGCTGAGAGCTGAATGACATTGCTGAAGCAATGCTGACAAAGCTGAAGCAACTGCTGAAGCAACTGCTGAAGCAATGCTGAAGTAGCTGAAGCAATGACTGAGGAAGATGTACCTTTATCGATCCCCCGTAGAGGAAATTCAAATTGACACAGCAGCACAGAAGAATAGCAGCAAAAGAGGAACAATATAATACAGAATAAAATAAGAAGAGAAACAGAATCTAGAATAAATAAGATAAATTAGAAAATACTATAGACAATAATGTGCAATGTGAGTAGGCATTTCTATACATGCGCAAAATAATATATAAAGAGTATAGTGGTTGTTGCAGTTTGTGTGGATTTTATTGTTATATACAGATTTGAGTCCTTAGAGTGTTGGTGCTGCGGTGTTGTGCAGTCTGATGGCTGATGGGACAAAGGAGCCTCATGGCACATGGCTTGATGGCTGAACGTGCTCCTTAGCTGCCTCAGGTCAGCACAGAGGGAATGAGAGGGGTTGTCCAGGATGGTTTTCAGCTTTCCTCTCATCCTCTTCTCTATCACTGCCTCCACACTATCCAGTTCCACCTCCACCACAGAGCTGGTGTTCTTCACCAGCTTGTTCAGTTTCTTAAATGGTATGACATGGTTGAAAAGGCCTGAATTGTTAATGGAAAGTGTAACAAGGTGTAGCATGGAAATGTACAAGAATGTACAAAACAGAAAGAACATGTAAGTTGAAAGTTAAATGGCCAAGATTGGCAGAAGAAAACCTAAAAAAAAAGAAATGTACAAGCAATACTTGAAGGAGATTTCTGAGACAATGCTAAAATGGTTGAAAAAGCAGTTTATATTAACTGAAATACAGTGCTTTGAAAAATTAGATGCCAAAATGTTAAACTGGAGGAGCTGAAGTCCATTAGCTGCAAAAGCTGGCAACTGAAACATTGAAAGCCAAAGTATTTACTGCCAAGGGTGGAAGTAGGAATTAAATGCCTTGAAACTGTAAAAGAAATCATTCAACAGAAGGATGAACTGCATCCTAAAGAGTAAAACTTTAATTTAACATATCAATAAGCTGATTAATCACTTAATAGCTGTGAACAGTTTAAAGTTTGAATGAAGTCTGTAGCTGAAAGTATGCTTAAGTAGTTGAAGTTCAAAGAGGCTGAAGTTTTAAAGGATTTGAATGCTGTCTCCAATGTAAAAAATTGCAGAAAAAGCTTAATATTTAAAAAACTATAAAGAGTATCGAAAAGTTGATTATAAGCATTAACCTCCTGTAGAAGCTTAATGTTTTGATAGTAGTTAGCGACCGCAGGAAAGTAAAAGGAGGATCTCAAGTATAACACCAGTGGAGCAGGTTAAATTCAAGATGTCTGCTGCTGTATTCACTGTTGTACTGTCCAATCTGAACTGTTATCTTGTGTGTGTGTGTGTGTGTATTTGTGTCTGTGTGTGTGTATTTGTGTCTGTGTGTATGTGTGTATGTGTGTGGAAGACAGAGCTGACACAGAGCTGAGTGAGAATTTGGCTCGGCAAGCCCGTTAAACAACTGCTATTTATGAAAAAACAGGACCTCCTATTAGAACAATTGTTAGACCGTGAGCATTACAAGACCTCTGTGCACAGAACATGTGGCTTTGGTGTTTCTATAGCCAAAAATGTGGGAACAGGAGCATGTTACAAAAAAGGGTCAGTTCTGTTTTTCTCTGGAATCAGCTCCTGAATTTGTATTGTAGTCTATGGGAGAGCTGAAGGGTACTCCCATCACTTTGAGGCTCACTGTTCTCTGTGCTAGGTATACGCTTTCTATGAAACAGGACAAATGTGTCTACAACCTGGGAAATTATGTGTGAAGACTGAAATATGTGGCCATGAGGATGTGTTACACAGAATTTTTTCAGACAAGTTTTAGCACTTCTCCCACGGTAACATTGATGTCACCCACTCTAGCCACTGAACATTCCGTACATTACACACCCATTATAACTCAAAAATTATCAGAAAAACGGATAAAACTTAAAATGTAATAATTTAAAAACAGTACAAGATATCAAAATGTTGAATACAAGTTTAATAGCTGAAAGTCTTGTGAACAGTTTAAAGTTTGAATGACGTCTATATCTGAAAGCATGCTGAAGAAGTTAAAGTTCAAAGAGGCTTAAATTTTCAAGGATTTGAACAGTCTCTCCATTCATTTGAATGACACAAAAATTGCTGAAAAAGCTTAATATTTTTAATAATAGTAGAAAAAAGTTGAATACAAGCACCCATCCTGAAAATGCTGAACGTTTTGATAGTTGAAATGTTTCTGTAGCACAAAGTATGTAGGAGTAGTTAGGTGCCGAAATAAGGGCGGAAAACATAAGAATTAAAAGATAGATTTGAATAACAATAATGCTTTAGCATTTAATTGCCTGATTTTTAATGTAATTTCTGAATAAGTTGCTGCTGCGTGTAGGAGTTCTGTGTGAAGGTGTTTTAGAGCAGTGCAGCAGATGTGTAACTTTGTGATGAGATAAATGTACATTAAGCAGATGGCAAGTTGTGGTTCACACACTTTGCTGTTTGTTGTCATTACAGATCGGTTTACAGTGTACAGCGCCAAGAAGCTCAGACAAGCGTGGAACAAGTAAGTTCTGATTATTCATATAAAGGTTTTTCGTGTGTGTGTCTGTCATTCTGCACATATCAATATATTGTTGTATATTATCATAGGGTGCTGTAGCTAAAGGACACACTTGTCATCTTTCCTGTATTCAAAGTCAAATTACCATTGGCAGTGAACACACCCTTAGCGTTGTTTACAAACTCATTACATCTCATATGCTCTTCCTCTAACTTACACTGGTAATGCAGTCTGCACATTAATGCAGTGCATCTACACATGTCTGACTCTGGTGTGAGACATGAGATGCATATGGCAGGGAAAGGGTACAATGGCACAACCAGGGCTTCTCCCAGATGTTTGCCCCGGGCATACAGCTGGAGGGGAGACCACTAGAGGGACAGGGGGAGTTTGCCTCTTTTCCACAGGGAATTTTAAAGCAGCACGGGGCAAGCAATTTGTATAAACTCCAACTGTCTAACCAGGCAGGAGTGTCGCTGTTACAACTAAGATCCATCTCTACTAACTGGGTTCATCCTACAACCTAAAATATTTACATAGGTGTCCTCAATCCCAGAGAATCTGCTGTGCCTGTACACTACTTCATCAAATGACTGACCATAATGCATAATGCAATTTTTTAATAGTGGCACATTTAGTTAAGAGTTTTGATGTTTTCCTTTGAATCTAATCAGTTGATCTGTGTATCTGAACAAAAGCTTATTTATCCTCCGTATTCATTCTAATTAAATTAGCCTAGCCCAACCATAATGAAACTGGTGCTAGTTGATCCATAAGAAGATATATTTGTGGTTTTAAGAACCAAAAATCTATACAGTTGAATATACAATTCTCTTTGGAGCTCTTGCAACTACAGGTTGCTCCTTAAACCAAATCCTGCAAATGTTGAATGGTAGGTCCAGGTGATGGTGGGGTCGAGCTGACGGCTCATTTTATGGCTCAGTGTGTGAATACAGGCTATGTGCATTTCTCTGTGGACCGAGCACTTTGATACTTTCACAGTAATAATATAGAACCTACACCTGCTTTATAATCAAAGATGTTTTTCTACAATATGGGACCTTTAAAGATCAATGAATCCATTTGCTGAAAAATAAAAAGCAGAGCAAAGTGAATTGTAGTGGATTTTACTTCCGCCCTCTCCCAGCCTGCAACTCCTGGTGTCCTGGCCTCCAGTCCAGGAGGAAATAAAAATGTGAAGAAAGAAAGTGAGGTGGAATGTTAATGACCGTCACTTCCTCACTGCTGCCTTTTATCACAGGCCAGAGAACAATGAATGTGATATGAACATAATCTCACTTTGTCTCTGCCCTGAGAGTTGGCTTACCCTCTCTTGCTTTCTTGTTTCTGCTCTCAGTCACTTTTCTCTGCACTGTTTTAGTTACTCCAGCTATAAAAATGTCAGTGACTGATGTGCAATAAATCAGTCTGGGTCTATGCTTTTTTGACGTGCTTGATGTTACAGATGTTAATTTAATGTAAAATACACAAACTTACATGTTAGCTTACTGCTGTATTGCCATCTAACAAAATTGTGCAAAGACTGTGCAAAATTGTGCAAAGACTGTAAACTGTACAATGGTAACTCAAGCCCCTTTTCCACTCATCAAAAAACCCGCTAAGACCAACTAACATCGGGCTTTTGCCGAAAATGGAAAAGGGAACCACTGGCATTCACTCCCCGGTCAAATGACTCTGCAGTAGACACAGCTATTTATTGGCATTGATATAAACACAACTTCCATATGAACACAGAAATTTTCGCCTCTTTTTCTGCTGTAATGTCTTCAGAGCACAGACACCTGTCACCTGTCCAGCACGGAGCTGCTAAACCATAAACACCGCAGCTACTGTGCTCAGGGATGAAAGAGTGAGTGCAGATTCAAAATAAGTTTGTTTTAAAAACACACAATCACAAATCACACCGTCGCACATGGAGGCTCAGACAATTTTACAGGTGCATCAACCTCGGGAGGAGATGAGATAAATCTGTTTCACCAGTTTAGACAGAAGCTAACAGCTCACTTTCTGTCCACTGCGTCTCTGTGTGTGCTCTGCTCCTTGCAGTTCTGTGTGTCCTCAGTCTGAATAGGAAGGCAAACTCGTCTGGCAGTGGAAAAGGGGTCAATGGACTTTTATGAGCTTAGCAAAACTGGCACTCTTCTACAGAAAGTGACTAAGGTTTGTCCAAGAAAACCCTAGATTTGTTGCTAGGTGCTTTTTTGAAAGTTTGATTGAAACTGAATATTTTTCAGTTTCACACTGTTGTTTGGACACCATACATTTACATGAACACCTTCATCACACTAACCCAGTTACACACATTCACACACACACATTGGAAGGTGCACAGACACAGTCTGAGGAATAGATTGTGGGCAAACACTGAATATTGTATTTCTTTTTCAAATTGTTTTGAAAATATAAGCTATAAATAAAAAATCTTGGCATACTTCCTCTCATCCACCTCTGTATACATATTCTGACAGCTATGATAGCTGCTCAGGCCTGTTTGCCCAAGTTCCCCTCAAAACACTCTCATCATCAGATGAGTCAGATATGGTGACTGCTCCTCACAGGACAAACAGCACTGAGGCTTTCTTCCAGAAGAAGTCTCAGTTGCTGTTTTGATCAAACAAAGCCAAACAACGTCGGTCACCCTGCTGTGGTGAGGGGATGACACAGGTAGGTTGTTTCCTCTGCCTCATCTCGAAGGAACGCCCTCTGCTGTGGATGCGTCATCACCTGCAGCCGTTTGACAGAGTCAGGAGATATGATCGATCTCACTGCAGATGGGCTCTTATTCATTCAGGCTAGTTGACCGCATTAGCAGCAAGAAATGTGCACCCACTGTACATCAGCAGCTTTCAAAGGCTAACGTACTCATAGCCAGGTGATCTCGCAACATAATAGTAAACATAATAATATTAACATAATAGTGTAACTGTAATATCTTTCAAATGTGGATACAAGCACTGAAATTGGAAAGTTTAACCCTCTAGGAACATTGATTTGAAGAATCCAATTAGCAACTTGAAATTTCTAAATCACTACCATTTTTTAAAATGGACGCCATTTCTGGCATATGAAACACATTTTTTTACAGTAGAATCTGTTCCATGGGGTAGATAACTCTTAAATTTCTTCAGAGCTACCTGTCTACCTTAGAATTTGAAAAGTGACCCTCCAAGTGATGCAGGCACCCTTCATCTCTCCCATAGACTGCAATACAAATTCAGGAGAGGACCTCAGGAGAAAACCAGAACCGACCCTTTTTTGCAACTTGCTCCTATTTTCCCATTTTTGGCTCTAGAAACACAAAAACCACAAAGTGGTGTTCAGGAGAGTCTTGTGGCGCAGACCACGTGATAAGTTTGCTGATATTATGTACTGTTTTGTATTAAATGGCAGGAGTTTGAGAGGTTAGCTGACCCCTTTCTTTCATGGATTTGTTTGAGCTCTCTGTCTTCAACAGCTAGACTCTCTCTCTTACACACACACACACACACACACACACACACACACACACACCTGAGAAACACACATGTACACACACACACAAGCGCACACACACACACAAACGGACACATAGAAAGGTAGACAGGGAGACGGGCAGGCAGGCAGGTAGACACAGTTTCTTAGAGGAAACATTTTGCTGTTAATTTCATCTTAAAATCCAACTGACTCCATCTTACATATATTCTAATTGATGGACTTCTTTTGGAGCTCATTCTGATTGGTGGATACCTTTAACAAATGTTTTCCAGGTGCTACCTTTTTCAGAGATAAAGAAAGGTAGGCAGCCAGACAGATGAACAGCATTGTCACCATGGCAACCTCTGAATGCAGGAAGGGGATACACAGCTAGGTCAAATTATCTGATTTGAAAGATAGATAGATAGATAGATAGATAGATAGATAGATAGATAGATATTTTATTTATCCCTGGGGGAAATTCATGTGTCCATTAGCTCATTGTTGATGATAATAATAATAATAATAATAATAACAGTTGATACTAAATAAACAATGATAATTAGATTAGTCCACATCCTTTGGCTGAGGTGTTGTATAGCCTGATGGCAGTGGGAACAAAGGATCTCTTGAACATCTTGCAGTGAGATGATACGTTTGCTGCACCTATAGCTGCTTATCTGTCCTGCCAGAATGTTGTGCATGTTGCATGCATCTCTCCACAACAGTCCTGAGTGAGTCCACACTCCTGCTAAGCACAGACCCAGCCTTTTTTGCCAGCTTGTCCAGTCTCTGTGTTAGTGTCTGACATGCTGCTGCCCCAGCAGACTGCAGCATAAAAAAGTACACTAGCTACCATTGACTGATAAAACGTGCAGCATTTCACTGCAGATGTCAAAGGACCTCAGCCTCCTGAGGAAAAAGAGCTGGCTCTGCCCATTCCGGTAGATGGCATCTGTGTTCAGGGACCAGTCCAGTTTACTGTCCAGGTGCACACCTAAGTGTATATAAGTGTGCACCACCTCAATGCCCTTCCCTCGAATGTTGACGGGCTGAAGGGTGTGCCTAGGACTCTGAAAGTCCATGACCATCTCCTTGGTCTTGGAGGTGTTCAGAAGGAGGCAGTTCTTGTTGCTCTATTCACTGAAGGCCATCGTCAGATCCCTGTACTCCTCTTCCTGTCCATTTCTGATACGCGCCACAATAGCTGTGTCATTCGAGTATTTCTGGATGTGGCAGGACTCAGAGTTGTTAAAGTCCACCGTATAAAGGGTGAACAGGAACGGAGCCAGAATAGTCCCCTGTGGTGCCCCAGTGCTGCTCATCACTGTCCCTGAGACACAGTTACCCAGCCTGACGTACTGAGGTCGTCTTGTCAGGTTATCCACAATCCAGGACGTGAAATAGTGATCACCCCCAACCCTTCCAGCTTGTCTTTAAGAATGGGGGTTTGGATGATGTTAAATGCACTTGAGAAGTCAAAGAACATAATCCTCATTTAACTACCTGGCTCATCCAAGTAAGAATGG